GACAGGGTGGCGTTACTGTACAGCTCAGCACTCGCTGCAGAGAAGGTCCCCGAAGGACTAGCACCTACGGCCCTGGATTACCCGTAGTCTCCCTGCAAGGGCGTGTCCATACGGTTTCCTTGGACTATCTGGATTATCACAGAATCACAGACTGGTTTGCGTCGGAAGGGACCTTAAAGACCATCCAGTTCCAACCCCCCTGCCATGGGCAGGGACACCTTCCACTAGCCCAGGTTGCTCCAAGCCTCATCCAGCCTGGCCTTGGACACTCCCAGGGATGGGGCACCCACAACTAATGTCACAGCACGATACAGTCAATGCACCTTTGATCAATGGAAGAGGGTGGTGACAGGTACTCTTAATTCACTGCTGCTAGTGAGTATTGACAGGCCGGTAATGATCACGCTGCAGCGTGTCATTCATGCTGGGGGCATTAGCATTCTTTAAAGGTCAAAAAACAAATCCTCCCAGAAGACAGAATTCCATAGAGTTAATGGAAAACGCAGGCCTTGCGAAGTCATGACACAACTGAGGTTATCAGGGCTGAAGTCGGTAGAGCCGTTGGCATTATTCATGGGTTTGCAGTGCACACGCACGCACGCGTGGCATGTATGAGCACACCGTGCCCAAGCAGCGGGAGAAGATCCCCGGCTTATGTGCACAGATCGTCAGTTCTCCAGGGCTGGTTAAAATTCAGCCCTCGGATCCTGCAAGGGATCCGCTGGCTAAGCTTATCTTTGCAGGCATTTATCTGCGCTCTGATACAGAGCCTGCCCGTTTGCAGCTGGGTACCGGACGAGGTCATCCACCTGCACCCGCCAGTTTGCAGAAATAAAATTATTTACTTTTAAAATTAAGCTATTTCATTTTCCTACATTAAAAGAACTGGCACATAAACACTGTCCAGTGGCGAGAAGCAGGGAGAAGAGACTCTCAGTTTTAAAGTCTCTGTTTTTGAACGGGGAAGGGGCACGATAAGAATCAAAGAAAAAATCTGGGATTGTAGAAACCACATAAACCGGCCGCAAAATGACACTTACTTTGTGAGACTCGTACTAGCTCAGTCACACTGAAAACACCTGATGTGACAAAACTGTCCTGGAAGCCCAAATGTCCTACAAAACAAACAGAGGGAGAGAACTGCGATTAACTTTAAGCATTTAATGACAGTATTCTCAAATACTTTACATTCATTTAGACTTCAAATGTGACATCTAATTTCCCACTTAGCAGTAATTATTGTTTATGTAGGTGGGTAACTAGTCATACAGCTATGTAGGCTGCTTTGTGGTTTCTATCTGGAGGTTAGCAAAGCTAACATGACACATCAGCAGGGAGATTTTTACATGTTAAAGCATCTCAACAGGAAATCTGAAACAAAAGAGGACTATTTTAATAAACGGTTACCTTGGGTGACCCCTAATGACTTCACAATTGAAATGAAAATACTGTACCTAGGAAGCAGACAGGACAGCTAAGTTCCATAATCGTTTTAAACATTATTCTCTAAAGAAACATCTGATCAGGATTATCTACCCATTCATTCAAACAAAACAAGATTTAAAGATGTACTCTTCATTTTCTAAGGTTACACTGGGGAAATCTTAAAATAGCTGCTGTACAAAAAAAATTAAATTAAGGACTTTCCCACCAAAAAGAAAAAAAAAATCCCTAACATTTAAACCTAGCCTTCAAAAGGAAAAATAAACCTCTCCGTAAGAAAACTGCTAACTGGGAGCTTTGGACTGTCTTCAGGAACCAGAGCGCACGCTTCCACGCTCGCCTCCCTTGTGCAAGGAACGCCGCTGCACTTGGTAGCAAAATGGAATTACACTTTACGTAACAGTATTTTCCTTCTCTGCAAACATGCCCACCACCAAATGTTCATTTAATTTTCACGGGTATGATCAATTACAAAAGGAGCAGCTTTCGGGCTGCAACGCAGGGCGAGCGTGGGGAGTGGGACAGGGCAGTTCACGCGGCCGTAGCTGGGCTTCAATTAGAGATGTGCCGTTAGGCGCTCAGACTGACCTCCTGCTTTTGAAATCAGGGTCAGAGGAGAAATCTCAGGATAAAGAGATTATGAAAAGAACGGCAAAGTCCTACTTGTCCACAGGATAAGTGGCATACCTTTTTAGGCTGTCCTACTTAGAGTCACTGATTCCAGCGCACGCACACGTATATTACTGAATGTTTTGCGGGGCACCATCTGCTCCGTCGCTCGCTGTCAGACTCAGCACAACTTCCCTATATCCTACCGTACCCCGTGCTCATCACGGCAATACGTGTGCACCTTCCCATCGTGACCAGAGCAAGAGGACTAACGCAGGCCGAGTGTGTTCTCCTGCCTTTCTTTCGGGGTCGTTTAAAAACCCAACACGGCCCACGGCCATTTCTACCTGCAGATGGGAAGTAAAAGAAATACATCTAGTGTGCAGGGCGACAGAGAGTGACGTGTCAAGGAACGTGCCGGGGAAAGGGCTGGGACAGATCCGGAGGGAGGTCAGCCGTTCATCTCCAGCCAAGCCCTCCTCGATTCTGTTCCCGCAGGGTTGCCCTTCCCCGTTTGGGTGAGGATCCCACGGTGCCAGATGAACGCAGCCGCTCAGCTAACAGACTCCAGACAACTTTCTGCATCAGGCATGTTTTTATACTTCAGCAATAACGATGAGTTTCCAAACTGTGTGTATGTATATCTTTGGGCATCCTCGTGTATGTGTGTATACATATGTATTATGTACACAAACATATAAATATACACAAATCTGTCATGCTCCAGCTGTAGATAAATGTACTATAAAATATTGAAATTGATGCTGGAATTCAACACAAACAAATTCCTCAATCTGCAAACAAGGTTTTTATTTACATCGAGAGAATAAATTTTTCTCTACTTCAAATGAAAAACGTTCTTACGAGCTTTTATTTTCCCTTATTTTCGACTTAGAAATAGCTTCCAGGTAATTGTACACGCTTTTGCCTAATCTGCTTGCTATTTTACCATAATAAAGGTGATGACTACATCGTTCTGCTTTCTAGAGATGGTTGCTGGCCATACCCAACGTTTGTTCGTTGACAATTTCCCAAGTATTTTTAATATGAAGATCTACTTTTCATATGCTGCAGCAGACCTGCCTATTGAATTAAATGATCTGTGAATTAAAAATAATTCTCTCAGGTCTTCACTGAAACCACTCATGTGCCTAAAATTAAGCATATGCTTAAGTGCCTTGCTGGATGAGGGCCAGGACGCTTACTACTCCGCAGAGCCCTTCGCAGGGAAGCCAGTCTACGCGACGTAACTTCCCATACCGCGCTCGTCATGGCAGTACCCGAGCACCTTCCAGAACGGCATCCAGCAACACCACGAACATCTGCCACGTGTTGGTTTTTCACCGTGCGCCACACGGGCTCTGCTCCGGTGTCCACTTCCACCTGCATCGCCCAGGCGGGCTCCTGTCGCGCTGAGAGTGCGGCTGGAATTGAAATGCGGAAGGGAAAACCAACTCACAGCTACGGTGGGACACGTGGCAGATTTGTTAGGGGAAAGTCTAGAGCCCTTTGTGATCATCCAATAAAACACGGTGGCATGGCTACCTGCCTGACCTTAACTTAGCAAACACGGGTAAAACCAGAAATGGAAACGCCGCAGAATGGTTGTAAATCCATCCGAGCTCTCAGGGTCCCACAGGCCATGAGAAGAGCTGACGAGGGGAGCTTGGGCCCGCTAACTTCATTGTTCTTACTTTGCTGGGTATTCCAGCAACCTCCACTGACTTCTGTAGGAACATTTCCTGCCTGTACATGGAATAGCAACAGTTACACAACAGCGCGCAACGAGAGTGATCAAATTTTCATCCCTCAATACTGAAAATAAACATTTCTCAAATGAAGGGTGAATTTCACAATTGTCCAATTTGTTATTTACTTATAAACATTAGGAAATCGGGGGCGCATCTCGCCAATCATTAATAATTGATACCCATAAAAGCAGTGCCCTTGGCTTAGAGTTGTATCTTGACCTCAGCGCGATGCGCCGTCGGGCTGCAAGCTCCCAGCTCAGTCGAGCTCCACGAGAGTTTAAAGGTTTGCCTGGATGGTTCAGGTTGCAAAATCCAGGCCTAAGACTGTCGCTTTTGCTGAGCTGTGATAACAGTGCGACAAGAAAATGAGAGTAACAGCACAAAAGCCAGGTGCAAAAGAAGAATGACTGGGAAGTAAATAGCAGGGTTGACAAAATATGTGAAGTAAACATTTTGTGCCCATTAACAGGGGTCAAAATGAAAAAATATACCAATTGGCTGTTCCACTTAATTCTGAGTGAGAAAAGAATAGGTAAAGCCAAGCAATTCCATATGCAGATGTTCGTGTTAACGAGCTCCTTTACTGAAAAGATGATTAAACCTCTTGCAAGCTTGCAAGGCGTACTCGTCGTACGGCACGTTACTGAAATGCGTGCACTGCGATCCTTTTGCTGAAGACCCCTCAGCCAGGACGCTGAAAGTGCTGCCTGTGATCTGGTTATCGCCGCAGCTCCGTGCGACAGTCAGATGCTGGTGTGCAAAATGAGGATGCGAGAATTTTTACTCACTTGTAATAAACTAACAGAGCCCATTCAGTGAAATTCTGGGTATGAATTAAGACACCTGGCTGGCCAAGGCAGCCCTGACTCAGCAAAGGGGTCAGAGCACGTGCTTAATTTTAATCACCTGCTTGACTACAGCACATGCTCATTTGCCCTGCCAAATAACGACGGGCTGACCGAGTTACGCAGGCATTTAACTACATTGCTGAACGACTGCCTTCAACCCAAGTCTAGGTCCAGCTCAGAGTTAGCTCGTTACACCAGACCTCACTTCGGTTCACCAGCATGACCCCCCAAGGGGGGAAAAAACTCGGGCTAAAAAGACGAAATAGAATTGATACTAACTGATAAATCATATGCCGTTACCCAGTTGCGCGTTTGGTGTAGCATAAAACCGCGCTGCAGCACTACCGTAACAAGTACCACACGAAAACTGCTTTTCCATAACTTGATGACTGCTTTAACTGGGGAGAAAATACATAACGGGATTTCCATAGTCTTCTTTTCATCCCAGCGAAGAAGCCAGAAGAAAAGGCCTGAATTGCTGGAGCCTAATTCTGATCTCAAAGAAGTTTTAAACAAGTCTTTCTATCAAATAGAGTTTCACCTAATTTTCTCTTAATTTACACTGGCAGAGGAGAAATCAGGATTAGGACTTGTTGTCTAATGCTATTTGTTTTGAATTATTAAGCAAACATTCCTATTTCAATGAGTAAACGTGTACAAAGGCAACTAACCTTCGTCCTAAAATCTAGCTTACAGGGAGAGTATTGTCTGCTTTCCCAATTAATGCTGTAAAAAGGAGTCTCAGACGTTGAGCTACCAATCAACAGCTTGTGTTGTAGCTTGAGAAAATCATGACTGATGCAATTACTTTTATGTAGAAAGTCTGAGTATGGTCTATAGGTTAAAGTTCACCGAGTTATTGTTCCTTAATTGAATATCAGGAGATGTTTTCAAGGTGCTCAAGGTATTATTGTTATTTAATTAGCAGGCTTCCTTGTGTAATCCAACAGTATTATTTTTATAATAAAATCGTTAGGCTGCACCATAAATACACAAGGTATTTTCTAAACAGAGATACAACTGAGTTCCTGAAATCCAAGCTTAAACAACTCCAGAGTTACTCCTTTGAAGATGAAAAAGTCCAAATCCCGTTATTTCTCTTCCACTACAGTCCGAGTGGCATTGTATGAAGCTTTGGAGAACAGTTTTTTGGGAGACTCTGATTCCTTTTCAGTGTTTTGAAATTGCACAAGTCCCGCAGACTAGCACTGAAGCCATTTCTAAAGCCTTTGTCATGTTCAGCATCTTACTATACATAGCCATCTTAAAACCTTAAAATAGTAATAATCAATTAGGGTCTCAAGCCTATTATCTTAACCAAATACCTGATTAAAAGAAAAGCCCTCTCTGCTCAAAGTGCAACTTGATTCCTTTTGGTTTTATCCTCTAGATAATCCCGTGTTTCACAAACAATGTGGAGCAATAACATTGATTAGAAAATTAATGTCTGTATCACACGGCACA